TTTTGTTGAATTTAACTGAAAAATTTAATTTAGAGTTTAACAAAGAAAAACCAAAATATAACCCTGCAATGAAAATACGTGCCTGCTAAAATATCTTCTATAAACCTATGAGTTCACCTGCATTAACTACTAATCCTCCCAAAGACTTTATTAGAAGGATAAGTGATTGTGACACATGGGCAATGCCATGTGTAAAAAGGGGGGAAAAGGGAAAATGGTGAGGAAATACTATAACTACATACTATATAACTACTAAATTCATACATAAATTTTTTTTTTTTGTTATGAATTTTTGAGTTAAAAAAAACTGTTAGATGATGGTTGATGCTTTTTCTAAATGGGTTGAAATAGTTCCAGCAAAGCATGCGGATGCTTTGACGGTAGCTAAGGCTATCTGTAAAACTATATCCCAACAGACGGTATTCCACAGAATGTTTAGAGTTAGTGAAGCTCTATATGAGAATCACCCCGACAGCTGATGTTCTAACACCTTTTGAAATAATTCATGAGAGAGCTTACAGATTGCCTCTGTTTGCTCCAGACTTACAAAAAGCTGATGAAGAACAGACATTAGCAGATTATATGATCAGGACTCTTAAACTGAAGGATGTGTCCAGTTCAAAGTTACTGCCTTTTGATTCTCTTCCTGTACAGGAGGCCACTCCAATCGAGTAAGGTGACTGGGTCTACATAAAGGTCATCAAACGAAAGAACTGGGCGAGTCCATGGTGGGAAGGACCATTCCAGGTGCTGATGACCACACCAACAGCTGTAAAAATTGCTGAAAGACCCAGCTGGATACATCTCAGTTACTGCAAGATGCAGAGAGTGTTGGATCCCTAATCTCGAGTGGGGGGAAGGCCAGCTTCAAAGGGGATCCTGACCAATAGGGCGGTTCGTCTCAACGCCAGTGAAGAAACTCGACAGATCCTCACTCTTTAGTTTGGGGGTTCCGACATCTCTGTGCGCCGAGCAGCAATGGAGACTCCATATGCCAGATGGATCTTCTACTGCACTGTGACTGCAGCATGTCTGATGTTTGGAGGAGGAAGCGAGCCTGAGTTCCACCCGCATGACTACAGTGGTGGAAGCTGATGAACAGGACTGCTCACGAGGAGAACGAGGTGAACTGCTATGTGTGTGCGCAGCTACGAATCGCCGCACACAACTCAGGTCTGCACCCAGGGAGCATCACTGATGACAAACAGATGTGTCTCTATGGCCTGAGCACACAACTACGACTCAGCGTCCCCGTGAAAAGAAGAAAATGCAAATGGTGCAAAAAGAATTTTTCTGTCCTACTTCGGACAGGAGATGCCACAAAAGGACTTTTTGGATCTATGAACTGTTCATTTGAGGATGACGTACTACCGTTTCCACAAACCGTATGGAAAATACCACAGACCATTTCTTTAGCAGGAGCTAAACCAGGATCTCTGAGGAGCTGTGTTTACAACAACAGACACGTTTCTCTTAGAATGCCACCTTGGAACTTGTGTAACAAAGTTTACACCTACTGCGACACGACACAGGATTTCATCAACTGCATCGCCTGCAGGGGTCAGAGGGCAACCCCCGGCTGCAAGGTCTGGAAGGACAGCCCAGACTGTGACAACTTGCTTCAGGAGAAAAAATTTATGCAAGGCATCTTTCCATGGGTCAGAGTAGGTGAGATTTGAAGCCACGTTGAGATCAACAGATATGAATTACTGCGACTCATCAACAGTACACAGCCAACGGCACCTTGAGAGAGCTGACTGAACTGAGAAAGATGGTTCTGTAAAACCGTGTTGTACTGGACTTCCTCACAGCCTCTCAGGGAGGTGTTTCTAAAATCATTGGCCCAACGTGCTGAACTTTTGTGCATGATGAAACAGGAACTGGAGGAACTTAAACATTACATAGAAAGTGGAACTCAAGGATCATCTCCTTCTGATTTTCTTTCTTGGCTCACTTCCAGACCATGGTGGAATTTACTGGTGAAGCTTGAAACACCTATTCTGGGTGTTTTGATTCTTTTTTTGCCTGTTCATAGGTTGCATTTTTCCATGCCTTCGAAGCATGATGTTTAAAACAATTAACACAACTGTTATCAACTATCAGCTGGCAAAGCATCTTATGAGACAACTGAAGATGACTTGTTTCGAGTTCTGATGATTTTCTGAACAATGATGAAGTTCTGTAATCAATAAACAGATGAATTCATTTGCTGAATGACTCCTACAACAAGTGGTTGTAGAGATGAGTAACCTGCATTTGATTTTTTGTTGTTTCTTTTATTTTTCATTTATTTCATTATATTACATTTATTCATTGTGTATTTTCTGTATTTAGATTAGAAAAAAAAAAACTTTTGCATTTATTGGTTCTTTTCTTTTCTTTTATTTTCTATGCTTGGCTTTTGCATAAAGTTTACACACATAGTAAAATGATA